CTGTTCACGGCTCACAGTCACCCATTGAGTGTTTAAATTAGTAGTTGGTCGAACCGCCCCTGGCGGCAATGCATGCTTGAATTCGTTGAGGCAAGGAGTGGTAGAGGTTCCTAATGTCATCCTGCGACACATTCTGCCAGGCATTCATCAGTTGTCGCTCCAGATCTGCGATATTTTGCGGTGCCCGAATCTGGCGGCCTACTATGTTCCAGACATGCCCGACTAGTGAATGGTCTGTGACCTTGCTGGCCAAGGAAGAGTATCAACCGCACGGAGAGTCCAGAGATATGCGAGCATATGTGGCCTGGAATTACGAGTATCTTGTTGGAAAATGGCCCAGGATGAGGTGCGATGAAGTGTAATACAACCGGCCGCAGGATTTTATCAACATATCATTGAGCTGTTAAAGATATACGGAGGATGAGTAACGATGACCTGCTGTCATAAGAAATAGCGCCACACGCCATCACACAGGAGTTAGGCTGTATGCCTTTGTAAAACAAAGGCTCATTGAGACTGCTGGCCCCGTCCTCTCCAGACACAAATTACGGTGGTCATCTGCTTCAAAGAGTGAAGCGGGATTCATCGCTGAACACTATACAATGCCATTCTGATGGCAGCCATGATGATCGGCTGCGTCATCAACTCCAGAGGCGACTCCGCCGATGTTGTGGGGTCAAAGGCAAACAACGTCTTAAAGGTCTCCTCTGTGGAGACTGTGAGACCCCGCCTGGATGGTAGGCAAGACGTCCACCTGATCTCACTGATGGACCGGTACCACAAGGAGGTATAGACGCAATGGCTGTAGTGTGTTGGAATAAGTCGACAATGAATACCGTTGGGGACGGTTTCGGGCCTGGCAAACAGAACAATCATCCTATCAGTTGCCTCGCATTTGTGATCCTTGGCCTTCCAGAGCCTTCATTTCGTCGGCAATTTCTCTTGTAGCAAGCCATTGCTGCTAACATCCTTTGCACAGCAGTATCTGTACGCCTGCAGGTGGCAGATCTATTGCTCGGTAATTACCACCCAGCTTCACGCAACCCTACAATGCAACCACGTTGGAAGTCGTTTAGTTGTCAGTAAGGTCTTCGATAAGTCTTAATGGCACAAAACGGAAAAATTGCAGCAACAAAAAAAGATAAATTTTCCGCCTCTGTTACTGGTTTTATACTTTGCGAATTGCGCACTAGAAATGCGCGCTATATTAGGAATTCCTGTTCATTTGCCTTGAAACTTTGATCATTTGCATATTCGATCAAGATGTTTTTGCATACCAAATTTCGTTACGATTGCAAAAGTCCTTCTTGGTGCTTTGATTCTTTTGCAAAAGAGTCTAGTTTAATTTTTCACTTATAGCCTAACATGAGGTTCATCTTATGAAAATCACACATAGCTTTAAATTATTTTTATATTTTACGAAATATATCTGGTTAATCAGATATTCACCTCAGTGCATCATTATATATTGCATTCCTGATGTCGTTCGGTTAGATTTCAGGTATAGCATTGGGACAGCGTGTTGCAAATGTACTTCTTTTCTGCTGTCTCCGTAGCAAAAACATTTTTAAAAAGAGCATAACTGCTGCGTAAATCGAGCATACAAAAACTGAGTTCTTTGTGTTTTGCTTTTTACTGTGATAATCGGCGCATGCCACAATTCTCGAACTATAATGTATCGAGTCGATATCTGTTTCAGACTGCAAGTATATTCTAAAATTAAAACCTCTGCCCAGTTAAAACACGAAGCAGAAAGAAACAATAAGCCGGAAGAGGCTTATGAGCCTCTGTTTGGCCACAACTGATCTAAAGCAGCCGTGGTGACGGTACCGTATAATTTTCTCCGTCCATTAAACGTGGAAGATAAGACTTTTCGAAACGACCTATAAATTTTTTTCCCTGCTCTGAGTAAATGCGTTGAATTACCAGCATCGAACTCTTACTCTGAAATTGAATCCAAGCGTTTCAGAATCAGAAAAGTTAATGTGCCAAAATTCACATTAACTCAAACAGTAGGTACACTTTTGCAACATTTAAAATTATTTAACTCTCACAATATTTTCCGAAGCTTCTAATAAATATTAATAAAATATTATCATAGCTGAAACTTCGCAATGATAGAAATTCTAATAGAACTTCGAATGTAAATATGCGAATACTTGTTATATTTATGGGTTATTATGCAACACTTATCCTCGCATTCAGATATCCGTATAATATGAAAATTCGTTCATTGAAGTGGTAAATAAAGCAGGGAGATCAGCTTTGGATACTTGATCGTTCAATTATTGAATTAATTGGATGTAGTGTAAGTCCATTATCTTATTGGTTTAATTTAAGTTTCTCTCAATCGAAAAATCAAAGAAAATTTGCATTATTCTGACAGAAATTGCTGATTAATGGTGGGATGAAACATAATTACTATCGATTATTGTAAAGCATCGTATATTTCCTATTAATAGTCTACCATCGATTACTACAAAAAAAAAAAAATATCTCTCCCTTTGATAGTCATATCTTATAAAGCCTGTAATCCCTGAGAGGTTATACGTATATTATACTTATTAAAACAGAATTATAAAAGAAATTGTCTTCTGTTTTTATCTTCTATAATCCAGTTTAAAGATGAGCATTCGTGCGAAAAAGAACCATTTTTATCCATTGTGTTTTCTTGATTTCCTGTTTCGACAAGTTTCCATCAAAAGCAGGTTTCTGCTTTCTTTTCTTTTTTCCTTTTCTCGACCAGAACTTCTCCCAGTTTTATTGTTAGAGCCATTCCTTTCGGTTCTTTTTCTGAGTCTGTTCAAAAAGAAACAAATTCCTTACTTGAAAAATGTTCGGAAATTAAAAAGAATAAGTTCATAAAATAGAAACATACCCATTACGTCGTAGAATTTGATGTACCGTAGGATGACCAAAAGGCTGTAGAATGAGAACGCGTAGTTGTTGCGCTAAATTTACTAAACAGACTGATGCTTGATCTTGCTGAACTCGTAGTATTATATATATATTTTGCGGCGCCGGCACGTTTTTCAATTGCGCTAACATATCCTCCAATTTGGCTATGGAAATCCTCATTTACGTAGAAGGATACTCGTCGTTTGCGAATGCATTATGAATTCTTAAAATATCAGATCAACTCTGAAATAAGTATTTCAGAACGTCGTCTAATGTAAGCATATTTTTTTGGGGGGGGTTGCATGTGTGTGTTGTGGCTGGTTCAGTTTGCAAATATAAATTATACGCAAATTTTTGCATTTAAAATACTTGTTAATTTGTAAATGTCCATCGTATGAGAAGCCAAATTAATAAAATATAAATTCATAAATTTTATGGTCATAAAATTTTATGAGATTTTATGACCTGTCAACTCATCCGGCTTTCCGACATATCGTCCAGTGTCCTGGTAGGTTAATCATTTCGTTTTAAATTTTTAGCCTTCACTAATGAAAGTGTTTTTCGGCAATAAAATTAAATTGTGCAAACAGAAATTTGCATAGTGTAAGTTTCATTATTCAATTAATGAAGCTTAAAATTCAGCAAATTTCATTGCTCTGCTTCTAGTGATCTTCAGCATAATTTTTCGTATTAAATTTTATTTGATCTGAATTGTCTTGATCTAATGTAAACATTTATAGGACTTTATATAAAAAGTTGACCATATGTTTAATCAGTAAATATTTATATTTAATTTTGTTTTACGGCAGTATACAGTACATTACTCAATTTATCCTCACAATAGTATGTATAATTACTCTTAATTTTATTTTTACTATGTTTAAAAGTAATTTGATTAATTAAAGCTTTTCCTCTCTACTAAGGATTTTCTCAGTATAAATATGTCAGAAAATTCTCCAAGAACATAATATTTAGAATACCTAATTAATATTAATATATTTTACGATAGAATCATATTGTAACTGAGTCATGCGTTATAAAGCTAATTTAAATCAATTTTGAGTTCTTTTAAAATGTAGATTAATGGCCGCCGAGCAGTCGAAAACCGTCCGGGAACTCACAGTTTTAGCACCAGAACCTCGGGGTTTCTCATATTTCAAGGTTGGAAGTCGTGGAAGCACATTCTTACTAATTTTTAAATGCTGTATACGTTACTAAGGCAGTATCATGAAAAAAAAAAAATATCATTAGTGTAGTTATCATTGCGAATGATTACTGTCAGATATTCTGAAGTGTGAAAACAAATTTAACGAAGCCTTAGATGTAGCTGTATTTTTAAGCATGACAATACCCCCAAATTATAAATAAATAAAATTACTAAAGCAGTTATTTTCATTCCTTTGCCAGTCTGAATAATTAAATTTGTATCACAATTTTAGAGCAAAATAAGTTTACTAATTTAGAAGCAACTCTGAAATTCTTTGAAATGTAACTTTCAGAAGCTATTCGTACACATATTATTTCAAATCCCCTTGCAATTAATGTACTTTCATTCTTTGATTCCCACAGGAGAACAATGCTATTTTATTTTACGGAATACAAAAATATACATGTCATTTGAAGTTATAAGGTTTAACGCAGGTTTTTTCAAACATTTTTGAATTTTTATGCGTCTTGTACGTTTTCTTATAAAGTCAAAGAGTCTTTTTTAACCTCTGCAGTATTATAAATACTTTAATCAAATATTAGAATAACATATTTCGTAAAGAATTCTGTACTTAAGTTCCAGAATGTACAAACCTAACTAATTCTACGTAGTGTTCAAACAATTGAGCACTAAATTTTAGCGTGAGAATGTTTGCAAACAGTTTTAGTACTTTAAAGTCTGTGCTGGAAGTAACGCTGTCTTTACATGTACCTCATGAAAGAAAATTTTCTTTTCATGCATGTTTTAATAAATACAAAAGAAAAACAAGTTCAGTCACTTTTTGTTTTCATAAACATAATATTCTTTCAAGGGTACTTGATATTGATGATACTGACTACACTTTAATCTCCCTCCTTGTATGTCATGTACTTATAATTTCATTTTTCTCTCCTAGGTGACGATTTCGGAAAGAGTGATTTACCCGGACTCGCCTGTGGGGCGGAACTACAAATACGTAGCTATTTGTGGTAAGTCAACAATTTCTGTTGAATTGCATTTATTGTTTGAGACTGCAAGTTTCATAGCAGTATACTTTTTTCATTTGTATATTTTAAATCCAAAATCACTGATCGTACATTGGCTTTTTACATGTTTCAAGATTGGTAAAAATGCGTGTTCATTGCAGTATATTACCCGGCGCTTCTGCATGATTTCAGGGTCACCACAGTGGCAGAGCTTTTGAAAACTATCAAATACTCATATTTCGTCCTGGTTTGGAACCCAGGCAAGAGGACTTGCTGCCTGGTTAGGTTTCGTGATTTCTCCTTAAAACTGTCTTCCATGATGTCATCACTCCACTTGGCCGGATCGAGTGGTTTGCCATATTCAAATAACGTAACCTGACTCCAGGAATTTTAACTTCGTGATGATTCTGGTTGATTATTTTTTGTTAAGAGTTCTGTAAAAACATAGGAATACTTCAAAACAGAAGAGAAACCCGCCAAAGTGAAATGTAAAAATAGCAAAGCAATAAACTTGCGTCTAGCGTAGATTTAGAACTCAATCGATTTCGGGGGCATACAAATACAGGTGCCTCTTTATCAGGAGCAAATAAATCTGCAAGATATCTGAGTTTTGCAGATTCATCTGAGACTAAATCTACGCCGAACACAATCTTGTTGCTTTGCTAATTTTATGTCAAGAATACATGTTTAGTATAATATTTCATTACGAGTATCATTCTGTTATGTCCTTGTTATATGCACGGGTATTAAAATGCGAATTGCTCAAGTCGAAAATCGCTTTGGATGATCTTATATACAAATTAAAAATTATTTCATATTAGCCAGAAAGAAATAAAAAAATCAATTTTCCTTACTTCGACTTTAATTTAAGTACACAGATCAATTTCTGTCCGTGATTAAGAGTATAAAAGACAAAATGAGTATCTAAACTCGACGAAAGAGGAGAATTTGACGTGAAAATACGTTAATTGGCCGTCTTTTCGCATTTTGCTGTCTTTTAATTAAAATTCAGCCAGATGAGCTGTCCAACTTGATTTCCTGCTGAATGTATTTCCCAGCAACAAATACTGATAACGAGGAAAAGGGATAAAATGTCGGACGTTTCATAGGGCTAATATTTTGTCAGTCTTCTTGAGCCTAAAATAAGTTTAATTAGAGTTTAAATGCAGCTTTGCTCAGAAGAAAAATAAGCGTTTTATTTTGGAGAAAATTCTACGAGTACTTTTTTAATTCCAGTTTTTACTTCCGTGAATAAAAGTGTTGTTTTAAGAATTTAGTTATACGTATGAGAATTTTTAATAATGGTGTCTTATATGCAAGTTCTGGGCTTAGAGCATACGTTTCATTTTCTTTTGACTCAGTTTTTATGTACTTTATTCTTCAAAATGTCTTTCTTTCTATATTTTTCATCTCAGAATATCTTCACATGAGATTTTTCTTTCTCTCTTTCTTTTTCTATTTTGTCCTTTTTTTTCTTTATTTTTCCCCCGTTTTGCTTTCTTTTTATATTTGTAATATATTACCGTTCAAAGAAATTACTTGCACTATTTTAGCGTGGCTTTTTAATTTGAAATTGAAAAATAACAATAATTTGCTTATTATCTTTAAATATAAAACAGAAAACTTGCTTTTCAGTCTTACGATTGAGCATTTGCAAAATAAGACAGTCAGACATTTTCATTTTAGAAACAGTAGTATTATATGCAAATAAATAAATAAAATAAAATTAAGTGAAAATATAATTTGTCTTATCCCTACTGAAAATTTACGAATGTTAAATATTTTTGCCAGAAACCATGTTTCGTGGATTAAATAAACCCTGTAGAAGACATTGGGTATTTTTTTTTTTTTTTTTTTTTTTTTTTTTTGGAAGCAGAAAAGATGCAAAGTTAACAATGCCTTAGCCGGGAATCGAACCGCGGACCTCTAGAATACCGGACCACCACACCACGAAGGCATGCCAAGACAGTAGGAGAAATACCTTGTAACCCTTATAAATGAGTAAAAATAACTCTATGGTTCAATTTTTAAGGCTTAAGAATTGCACAAAAGCATGTGAAATTTAATTAAAATTTAATCTAACAGATGGTGCAGTTTGGAGTGTTAACAGGTACAGACGTTTGTCCTGATATCTGTGAAAGCTAGATGAGCTCAATAACCGCAAACTGAATGTTAAAACTGTAGGGTCATTAGTATTTCTTTTTTTAAATGCTGGAGACATGAAAACTCTACTATTCCCTTGCCGGGACTCGAACGCTGCAACTCTCAAATATGTGTCGAGTTTACTTCCAATTACACTCCGAAGGCATGCGGAAAGGAGGGAAAAAATACCTTATAAAGTCTGCAATGTATCATAGAGTTTATTATTATGATTTATAAGAACACTGGAGTAAAATCTGCAACATTTGAAGTTCATTTACTACAGTGAAAACTCTTATTACTACGTTATTACTAAAGTTACTACCTTTTTCGGGAAAGCAATTAAACATGGGCAATGAACATAATCATTATTGTCGTTCTGTAACAGGAAAACTTTCCACAAAGGCAAAAATAAGCTAGAGCTGTGAGTGGACGCTTTGGGAAGATTTTACTGAATTTTAGAGTGTAAAATGCATATCTCAAATTGAGTGACTAGAACTCAAAGTTCCAGTCTGTTTTAAATAATTCATTTCCTTGTATCGTGAAGGAACGTAACACTATATCCCAATAGATGTCACTTAAACACAGAGCGGTGCTTAGATACTTTTTTAACTGAAGCAAAGACGTAAATGCCGCGCTTTTAACATGACGTGAAATGGAATGCATTACTACATTCTCATATTCATCAAAGGTAAATGCACTCGTGTGCAAAATTAAGATAATTTGCAAATTATGTATATTTTTACCAAACGTGTTGAACCATAGGTATTAATTATGCAGCCGAAGAATTGCGCAAATTTTCAGAGTCGAATACGAAAGCATACACGCGCGTGTCTGCGCAACTATGATTGTGGAGGAGATACAAGCGCACGAGAGATTTCCGGCGATTTGTGTACTGGTATTCCTTCACGACATTCTCCATATTTCTTGCAAGAGTTGGGTAAATTTTATAAGGTATCAAGTTAAATGAATAGCCACAAACGAATGGAAGGTGCGATGACATAAAGAATTGTCAATAGATTAGAGGCAGGCGATTAACAAGCGCATGTAGCTACAGAGCTCAATGTAACGCCCAGTGTCGTACAGGAGATCTTTAGAGGAATTTACTGGGACTGCACATAAACACATCTCGCATGGCGGAACTGTTTTTATCACTGACGTTTGGCATTACCTGTACTTTCTTTAAGCGGAACATGCCCAGTCTCTCTAAACTGTTTTAATTATCTTTCAATTAATTTTTCCGTTGGTGGAGGTTTATAAATTCATGTCGGAATCGCCTCTGGACTGTTTTCGGTGATTTCGTTTTCTATAACCAAAATATGCACATTGCTTTTTCACCACATGCCACCATTTTGTCTGTAAAAAAAAAAAAAAAAAGTTCCCTGTTGCCATTCCCAAAAATTAGAATAAATTATCTCTCTGTGAATTCCGATTACTTCTTAAAATTACGTTTAAATTTAATTTTGTTATCCGTTGATTAAATTATGGACACCCTACGTACAAAGGCAATCTTCTGTGAGGAGTCTTTAAAGAGAAACTGATCCGTATTTTAGGTTTCACATGGGGAAATACACGAAAACACCCATGCATAATCGCAGTTTGAATTACATAAATCTTTCATTTAAACTATTATAGAGTTACAACTATTTTTGTAACTGATTTGCTGTCAAAACTGAAGTATTACCAAAGAAAATTTTAATTTTTTAAAATTATAATTACCTTAGATAAAGAAAGTTTACTTACTATCGTTATTAACTATGTAAGACTTTTGGGGGGAAGGAGGGCCCATTACTAATATTCGAGCATATCGGTGTTTTAACAATTTTAATACTGCTTACTATACCAGTATTTGGCAATTTTTTCTTTCTCAATAAAATTCTTAAATTTTGAACCTTTCTTTTTTAACTTATTTCATACTGAACAATTCATTTTATTGTTTCAGTATAAATAATACATCAGCTGAGAAAAGGAGAAGCCACATCTTATATCTAATGAAGATACCTAAAGCTTTATAACAGGAATAGAGAAAGAATGGTTAATGCGGTATATTTAGTTTTAGACATTTTTGATTAATTCCTTCGTGCCTCATATAGATGGACTTGTATAAGGTTATATTTACTGGAACAAACTTTAGGCAACCGGCGAGTCAGCCACATTGAATTATTGGAATTTCTTTAGGGTGAAGTGAAAGCGGGAAAAGCTACAATTGAGATTATAAGTAGATAGGAGAGTGTTACTGACGACAGCAGCATGCTGTTTCCTAGGAAAGTTGAGTCTATATATCTCCTTACCACAAACATAAATCACATTCAGTAACTTACTATATCCAGCATTGTTTTAATCGTTAGGAAATACTGTATTCGTTATTGTAGAACCGAACATTTATATGAACAAATGATACCACTAATTTTCTTAATTCAGTTCGTTTGTTTGTAATACCATAATATTTTAATCCCTTTTAGGAATTAATGGAAATAGTGCAATAAAGCAGGGGTGAGCAACTGTTTTCATTCGGGGACCACTTTGTGGGAGCAGGGGGGGGTGTTAGCGGAGGTTAGCACCTTTTAAAATGATTGCATTCATTAGTTATCTTTGAGTTTCAGTAAAAGTATAAATTGTAGCCAAAAAATCAATAAATGTAAATTAGATAAAATAATGGCAGTTCAATTCATTTTGTGCTGATTTCATATCAACTGTAGATGCAGACACATTTAATTTTAGAACCAGTTTAATGGGACAAATGTACTCTATCAAATTTTTCTACAATATATATATTGAGGTTGCTTGATGAGAATCTCTTTATAGCCTGGAAGTTAATATCTTTTAAAGAGCATCTATATTTACTCTACAAGCAAGGAAAACTT